AAACTTTAGTACATACATTACATACGTATATATCTCTCTGGTTGAATACATAAATATATATGTTTTATAACAAGATAGTTATGACAAGGACACTGTAATCAGACAGTTGTGACTAGGGATGGGCAAATCGACGATTTTTTGAATTTACTGCGCAGGCTGCGCAGCCTGCACAGCCTGCACCCTCTAGGAGTCTAGGGTTCATGATTACGTATATATATAAAACATCTACTTTGTATGTATAAAGTTAGGCTCCCATTATCAGTTTCGAGTTTTGCATTTTTTTTCACTAGCTCCTTACATAAATTTTGACTATTTATTAAAACTTTTAGCGAAGTTTTCTCAACAACCACCTGATAAATTTTGTTAAAAAATGTTTTTATTCGAATTCTACTAGCTTGTAGAATTCTGATAAAAAAAAGTTTCATGGAAAATTTATCAGGTTATTATCAAAGAAGCCTTAGTTCAAAGTTTAAAAAATTTAGGCGAACCTTTTTCAAACCTTTAAGCGAAGCTTTCTCGACAACCACCTGATAAATTTCAATGAAACTTCTTTTATTTGAATCAAACAATTTTTCCTTGAAAGTGATTGAGTGATTGCCGTGAAAGCTTTGCTCAAAGTTTTAAAAAATAATCAGAATTTATGAAGGATCTCTCGGAAGAGGAACCAATCATTAATAATTCTGGTCAAATTTGCAGATTATTTGGCCAGATCTAAAACAAACCAATTTTAAATGTGCTCAAATGATCTGCAAGTTTGACCACAATTATGAACTAATCAGGTGAAACGTGATTTCGGGCTAATCCGGAATGATTTTCCGATTAGCTGCGTTATAGAGCTGACCAGAATTATGCCAGCTGGCCTGAATTATAAAAATTACACTGCGCAGTCTCTCAAAAATGCCTGCGCAGTGAAATCCTGCGCAGCGGCTCATCCCTAGTTGTGACCGGGACACAACAACGAGATAGTTATTATTGGGATCCTTAATTTCCCCACCACTTCCGATTGGTCGGGTGTAAATGCCATCTCTGATTGGACAAAGCAGACTACGCCACTCTTCGTTTGCAAATCAAATTACAAGAACTGGTGTAAATAAAATTACAAGAAAAAGAATCGAAGTTTTTTAAAATTCTCAATAACTCAAAATTTTATTTATGAAACCGCCTTTCGTGTTCTAATAAAAAATTTCATTGCAAAATTTTAGTATGACATATGTTTTGTTAAACCTTTATACTGCTCTAACGATATGTTTTATTGGTTTAACGTGCGTACTGTTATTGAAAGTTTCAAAATTTGACGAAATATGTTTCATCCAATCAAAAGCAGTATTTCTATACATCCAATAGGAACTGGTGGGAAAATTACCGTAGTAAACTCGGATCTTATGAACGTCAATCAATACATCGGGCTTATTATTTTTTATTTTTATCACATACATGCATGCATATAGTAGATACTAAAAAAAGTTTCCCATGTCTTAACCATCTAATAAATGCTGTCCATTCACCCGATATAAATCACGATAAATTATTTAAGAAAATTAAACTTTTTTATAATAATCTTCCTTAATTAATTTACTTGCTCTCCATGCGACCATAGCAGTTGGAGCGTTAATATTACCTGCTGGAATAGTTGGAAAAATTGATGCATCAACAACCCGAAGATTTTCTGTTCCATAAACTTGAAGGCGATGATTGACACATCCTCCTTGAGATTCTGGTGCCATTTTTACTGTGCCACATGCATGTAATGTTGAAGCTGTCTATAATAAGGGAAATTAATATCAATAATTATATTCTCTTTACATTAACAATATACAGTAATAATACAATGCACTTATATAACCAAAAAAATCGTTACACATAGATATACTTGCTTTTTCACGAATGTATTTTTCCCATCCTTTATCGCTATCCACATTATCTAGTCCAATTATTTTTACACCCCAATCAGTACTTAATGGAGGTTTTTTGAGTATCTCACATGATAATTTAAGACTACTCATCATTCTATACAAATCATCAGGTTTTTGATAGAAATTAAGAAATATTTTTGGGTGTGCAAATGGATTAGAGCTACGTAATTCCAAATGACCAACACTTGATGGAATATTAAGAGACGATAACATAGAATAAAATTCTTTTTCTTCCGTTGGATTGTTTGCAAGAATACCTTTATTAAATAAGAGTGCTCCCGCTATAAAATTATAATTAATTATTTAAGCTTTTTTTTATAACATTCCAAAAAAATAGTATATCATGATATTAACTTACCATAAAGTTGAATATCAGGACGTTCATCAAGGAATTCGTTTTTACTAGGAACCTTTCCTTGACTATTACCTTTGTGAAAAATTACAAAATCTACTCCAAAACCTGAATAATTCAATTTAGAAGCACTTGTACTATTTGGAACAGAAACTGTGGCAGCAATGCAACATGAAGGATGATCCCACAAATTACGTCCAACTGGTAATTCTTTACGAACTTTGATATTATTTACTTCTAAATTATTTTTTGGTCCAATTCCGGAGAGCATTAAAATCTTTTTTTAATTTTATCAAATATAAACCGTCAGTTTAATCATGAACAAATTGTTATTTCTCTTTAATTCTTACCTGAGGACTATTAATAGCACCACCACAAATAATAATTTCACCTTTTGGAGCAATATAAGAATTGTGAATTCTACCATTACAAAAATATCTCGCGCCAATTGCAACATTCTTATCATTCTTTTTTTCATCCCAAATAATATTTAACACATGAGCAAAGGATTTAACATTAACTGCCACGAACTTGCCAACATTATCATCTAATGCACGAAATGGTGGTGGATGAGGACATCCTTGAATAAATGGTTTTGGAGGATAAATTTTAACTTCTTTCAGTGCATCTGTCAAAAAACCATCAGCCAATGTAAAACGCTTTCCATCTTTCATCGTAAACTATTGTATTTAAATTTAAAATAATATTAAATCATAATACGTAATATGTTTAAAAAATATTTTTTTAATTACTTGATATTCTCCTACTCCATTTATATCTTTAGAAATATCAAATTTATCAACTGGAGAATCTTGTACATGAAGTAAACCATTGAATCCATGATAATTTTTAAATTCTTCATCTGGATTTATACGTGCATTATTTTCAACTGCTTTGAATGCTTTTGTTTAAATAAATGCAATGGTTTAAAAAATTGATTTTTTTTATAAATAAAATGTATAAAATATATTATACAAGAATTAAGATGCGTTTATTTAATATTAACCTTCAAGGCAGTGATCATAGTTCCAAATAATATATTCAGAACCTTGAGCAGCCCAACTATCATAATCAGCTTTATGACCTCGCCTAAAAGAAAAAATAATTGTATCGTATTTAATATAATAAAAAAAAAATATGTCACGATATGATTTTAATTAGCAGAAAAATCAAATTTAAAAGTACAGTCAGACCTCTCTAAGTGCACCCTCTACAAGTGCATACCCTCTCTAAATGCACGCTCAAGTGCCAGCCCAAATATATACATGACCTCCATAAATGCACCTTTTCTTATTATTCTCTATATGCACATTATTAAAGTGTGGTCCCAAGGGCGTGCACTTAGAGAGGTCTAACTGAATAACTTTTTGTACAGTATATTGAGGTATTAAGTTTATTATTAGTTTATTTCCATTTAGTTAGCTTGGACAATCTATATGAATATTCAAACTTTTGCTACCCGAAGATTATCTAGGTATGTCTACCCGGGTATTATCCGGGTATGCTTACCCGGGTAGCTGAGTTTACAACCCGGATATCCGATTATCCTCAGATAACCCGGGTATCATCACTAGTTCGGCAAGTGAGCTCAGTTTGAGTCCAATATTGCTTGGCTCTACTAATCCCCGATAAGTAAAATCTGCATTACGATAGTAATTAAGTGACCAGATCCTGTGATTTAGTATTAAGAGACTCGTGACGTAGTCTAGAGCTCTGACACTAGTTACTCGGACCAAGCCTTCCACACCTCGATCATAGCCTTACCGTTATTAGGGTTTAGTTGGAGTTGTTTAGTTTGTATTAGTGTAGTGTTGAAGTGTATTCTTGTATTGAAGGGTGGAATTTGCCCTTCACAATGTCCATTTTAAACGCCTGTGTGCAGGGTTGGCAATGGAGCCAATGGAGCTCAATGATTATGCAAATGGAGCTCAAAAAACTAGTATCCATTGGCTCCATTCAGAGCTCCATTGGTTCCATTCGTAGCTCCATTGAGCTTCCATTGCCAACCCTGCATGTGGGATGTCACAAAAAAATTTTCCTTCCCACGTGATCGTATTTTTATTGGATTGTCTAGCACGACGAATTTTCAATTAACGATTTTTTTCTTTTAAAAAAAATTTTACCCTTTAAACATTTTCCGGGCAAATTTTCCTGATTGATCTGTGATTAAATTATATTTCCGAACATTCAATTGCGATTAAATTATTACACAATTACATTCAGTTAAATTGTTACAGATAAACAATTGCAAAACAATAAATTGTGAAATAATTGCAATTAATTGCAACTTTTACATCTTAATTATAATAAGTTTATTTTTTTAACTATAATTTTGATGTCAGAAATCAGCAAGTTATTATGTTTACATACTGTTACAAAAATTGCCATTAATTGACCAATTGTAGCTGTGCCATCAATCAATTAATTGAGGTCAAATAATTGCAATTAATTGCTCTCACAATCAATTATTCGGTAGCCCTGGTAGTAGGTATGTAGTTTAAATTGACGATTTAAAGTATAACGATAAGACATTTTAATCCTTTTTTATATTTATTAAAATTTTTAAAATTTATACAAATTTTTATGTAATCGCATGCGAATTATACTACACACTTATACAATGTTGACCCAAAGCGATACCATTCATTTCACCGATAAGTTTATTTCACCGATAGTATCCGACAGGTTTATTTCACCAACAAACTCATTTTACAGTACAATTCATCGACAGTACGTTTCATATTATTCTTTTTCATGTTGGGTTAGTAATAAAGGTAACTTGGATTTGACAAATTTTTTTCTTTCACAGACTGCAGGTACTATTATATAATGATTTCTACAAGTCTGTTCTAAATTACGTTTTTTTACCGTACTACCTTATTACATACCCTGGAATAAGGGTCTATTACTTGTCGGTGTAACGTACTGTCGTTAAATACAATTGTCGGTGAATCGTACTGTCGGTGAAATATACTTGTCGGCGAAATGCACTGTCGGTGAATCGTACTGTCGGTGAAATGATATGTAACCACCAAAGACGTTGACTCCAACGTTGATCTCAATGTTAATCCAACGTTGACCCAACGCTGATCTCGACGTTAACCCAACGCTGACCCCAACATTGATTTCAACGTTGACCTCAACGTTGGCCAAAAGAACGACGAAGAAAATCACCAAAATAACAAGAAATCACCAAATAATAATAATAAAATAAAGCTAAAAAAAAATATGTCCGTACAGTACGTACGTACTAAATTTATTGAAATGAAAATCTGTAACGCAAGAGTCATATGAAGTAGCAGTGGGAGATTTACTAATACACTAATTCCATTTTACTTACGTACGTACGTACGTACGTATGTAACTAATGTAACTGTTGATTTGGGAGAGCATTGCATAATGAATGCGCAGTGTAGCTCCAACCGCTACTAGTCACGATACTAATTTAGTTAAATGATCAATTACACCAAAATAAATTGATTCATCACTATAGATGGGCACCAAGCGCAATCATGACTGCACATGATGCGCACTTAAATGCTCGTACTACGTAGGAAATTCCAAGTTTTAAATTGTTTTGTACCTATAGGCTATAACTTCTAGTGTAACGTGATTATCAAAACAAAAACAAGTACGTACGTACGTACGTACCTTCTTATAAGTTCCTTATTCAAGTAGGTTTAAGGTTTCTCAAGCACCTAAATTAAGCCGATCAACTAACGCTAATGAAAAAAAAGATGATCTAGACCATCGTTTTTTTTTATTATAGAGTTTTTTGCAGAATAAAGTACTTACGTGATATAAAATGTTTCACATAAAAAATTAAATATCACAGTTAATACATATCAAATTCGTATGCGACAAACATTCGAAAAGATTTATGCTATCTGTCTTTATTATGCAGAACATAGCAACTTCTTATTTAGCCAATGGGTACACTTTTTATTTGGGGCATTCTCAAGCATCTTAATCATTAGATTAAAATGTGTCTGAAATGTGCCGGGAATTAAATTTTAATTGTGAAAAAAAAATTTAACCGCTCAAACGAGCTTGTTATTAAGATATATAAAGTACAGAACACAGCATCAAAGAAAAAAAATTTTAATTAGTAAAAATGCTCCGATCAACAAACTTTTCGTATCGGACCGTCTTTTTTTTGCGTTGGCTTATCAGAGCCTTATTGAAATAAATAGAGTTTTAGTTTAAGCATGGGTCTTCATTATCGACGTACTAATATATTGTTATTATTGTGTTTCTTTCTTTTTTTTATGCACATATTTCTACATATTTGCGATATTTTAAATAAATAACTTACTATAAAATCGATAAAAACCATTAAGTATTGATTGAGGTCTTTATTTAATCAATCATTATAGTGATTGAATATACCAGTACGATCACATGAAATGTGGAGGGATGGTTGCGTTCAACTTTTTGGTGCGCTATATTTTTTCCTATTT